CTCTAAATTGATCTCTAATTCAGATTATTTTTGATTGATTTTGCCGTTACAGTTATTGTACAGACTTAATCTAATTTGAATGACTAAGTATACAAAAAGATATACATTTAAGAGATCGTGGTGTTTCTTTTTTTATAATATTTTATCGTGAGGATCTTTTTTTAATCTGTAGACAAAGATGTTCAGACGGGTCATCTGTGCTGCTTAATGATATTTAAATTAAAGATTTAAGTACATTATTGCATACACGCTGTATGTACTGCAAATATTGTGACTCCTGCAAATTTCAAAATCGCAGTAGGCCCATATTTGGTTTTTGTTAAAAATGTACATAACACAGATATTATTGCTCTAACCCATACATTTGAATGCCCTCCAAAGTGTGTGTGTGTGTGTGTGTGCATGTGTGTGTGTGTGGTGTGTGTGTGTGTGTGTGTGTGTGTGTGTGTGGTGTGTGTGTGTGTGTGTGTGTGTGTGTGTTTGTGTGGTGTGTGTGTGTGTGTGTGTGTGTGTGGTGTGTGGTGTGTGTGTGTGTGTGTGTGTGTGTGTGTGTGTGTGTGTGTGTGTGTGTTGATGTGTGTGTGTGTGTGTGTGTGTGTGTGTGTGTGTGTGTGTGTGTGTGTGTGTGTGTGTGTGTGTGTGTGGCGCGGTGTGTGTGTGGCGCGGCGCGGTGTGTGGCGCGCGCTGTGTGTGTGTGTGTGGCGCGGCGCGGTGTGTGGCGCGCGCTGTGTGTGTGTGGCGCGGTGTGTGTGGCGCGCGCTGTGTGGCGCGCGCTGTGTGTGTGCTGTGTGTGTGTGGCGCGCGGTGTGTGTGGCGCGCGCTGTGTGTGTGCTGTGTGTGTGTGGCGCGCGGTGTGTGTGGCGCGCGCTGTGTGTGGCGCGCGCTGTGTGTGTGCTGTGTGTGTGTGGCGCGCGGTGTGTGTGGCGCGCGCTGTGTGTGTGTGTGGCGCGCGCTGTGTGTGTGTGTGGGGCGCTGTGTGTGTGTGTGGGGCGCTGTGTGTGTGGCGCGCGCTGTGTGTGTGTGGGGCGCTGTGTGTGGCTGTGGGGTTTGAACCTGTGCTCCCCTGATCCCAACGCAATAGGCCACTGCGCCACATGCCTCCTCCGCATATATTTCACATTTGGGATATTTTATCTTGGGGAAATTGGGTTTTGTGACGGTTGCTCCATTTCAAATAAAAAAATTAAAATGTATACGTATTTTTATAAACATGCAAAGTTAAAGTAGATACTCCAATACAATTATTAAAATAAACATCAGATGTTAAAGTAAGAATGTGCAATTAAAATATATAATAAAATAAATGTTTATATAAAAAATCAAGAGGTAAAATGTCCAATAAAAGAATAGAATAAAAGCATTTATATAAAACTAAATAAAAGAATCCAATAAAATAAGTATAATGCATCAAAGTAAGAAGACAAAAAATATTAATATTAAAGATTTTACAATTTCTTTGTTTTGCAGGGGTGTGTGTGCACCATCAGAGGGCAGCATTGTTGTTATATTTACCACACACACTCTCTCTCACTGTTTACTGACATCAGGTGGTAGAGACACACACACACACACACACACACACACACACACACACACACACACACACACACACACACACATCAGTGTGTGTGTGTAGTGTTCCCGTGCGCTGTGAGCAGAGCTGCACAATGTTCCTGCAGCTTCCTCTGCCACATTCCTCAGCTGATTGTGATCGGGGCCTCCTGCAGGAGCATTGTTCCTGCAGACCCCCCCCAAACACCACCAGACCCCCCCCCCCAAACACCACCAGACCCCCCCCCCCCCCAAACACCACAAAACTGAGTCGAGAAGAGAGAATTTTTTTTTTTTTTATCAGAAAAAGTTTAGAAAAATATCTGAAAGTTCGTCAACATTTTTTTTTATGAACCTATTATTTATTCGACAGATATATAACTTACATGGAGATGTACATACAAAAATCACACACGCCTCAGTTTACAGTCCACTCAAATCTACACGTTGCACACACACACATGCATTACCCCTTTCCTTCTCATTGCACTATTCTTCTGTGTTGTTGTGTTGCTCTGTGGGAGGAGCCTGAGACCTCAGAGTTTCATTGTCACTAAACTGTATGACTAATAACAGCCTTGAACTAAGTCTTGGCAAATTGTACATAAATACAGAGACTCATTTAAATCCTCTGAGCTTTCCCCGGGTCGTCGGTACAGACAGGTTTGCTGACAAATCAGAAACAGGTGCTCGGTAAACATTAAATATAAAATGACATGGAGAGGTTTTTAATGATTGCTGGAGCTCCACTTTCCGTCTCATGGAGATCTCTCTCATCACTCTTTCATTCAAATAGCTTTACTGCTATGACCGTATGTGACCTGCTCGATCACAATCAGCCGGATGCTGCAGCGCCGCATTCTGACGGAAATAAGGATTCATGTCAAAACGTTGTTGTTTCGGTCATTTTGGGGTTTTGGTTGAGTTTAAACAAAGTCTTGGCTTTCGGAATATGGAGCTGTTATCAGACGATAAATACCTTCTTGCAGCTCTTAAAGATGGATGTAAACTTCTCCCTCCCTGCCTGTAAACACCTAATAATCTAAATCATGTTTCCTCTCTGACGTCTAACTTTTTCTATCATTGCATATTTAATTTATAATTTTCGAATCATAAATCTAATCGATGATTAGAAAGTGATAAAAGTAGGGTAGACGTGTGGAGATTATCCGGCTGAACAAAACGTGATCCGTCTCTTAGATGCGTCTCAACCACAGACCTGATTTCCAGCTATCTTCCTAAACCCTATGGAGAGATTGCTTTGCTTTTTGTCGAAGGAACCGGAAGAAGCTTCCCTCCGGGTTTTAGGACGCGTCACTGTGGCTCTCTATGTAATCATTGCGTAGGTGTGTCGTGTGATTCTGTGTAGTTTATTTATGGCATCCTGTTCAGACGTCATCTGAACAGGACATCGCACGCTCACTGCTTGATAGCGCGAAGGTCCGTTTACGCCGGTTGTTAAACAACATCGTTATGGGGAAATGCAAGTCTGCGTCCAAATGGTTGGAAGATAAGGAGGAAGGACAATCAATACTGTATATAGTCAATGTGAGGTAAAGTGTGTCGCCAAGGTAACCGGTTAAAACTCAAAGTGGAGATGAGGTCTTAAAATGTATGGAAAGGGTCTTAAAAAAGGTCTTAAAAGGTTTTACATGTGACTTCAGGAGTCCTGCATGTACCTTGATCTAGTTGTTTTTAAAGTCATGCTTTCTGCAGCTGTCAGTCTGCACAATTTACTTGCTTTATTTTCATAAACTTGGTTACAATGATCAGAATAATCAAAGATCAAAAGCACTGCGGCTCTATAGAAATGCTTAATAACCGGCCCTTCGTGGAGGCTTTACGGGTTTCTCCTGCTTATTATGGATTTATCAATAAATGCTAATAAAGTATTTATGAGGAGAATAATAAATGCGTTTTATTCAGCAGGAATCTGACAGCTTTGGAGCGATTGATTGCTCTGCAGAGTGTTTGTGATTCAATCGAGCTCTGGTGTTTTGCCATCACATCGTGCGGAGCGTTTAGTTCCCTCAGATGATTTTTAAACAGCTGCTCTGAGTTTCTCGCCTGTAGAGGGCAGAGTTTTCTAAACTACTCCTTCATTTCTCCATGCATCAAACACACAGAGAGGACGGTGACTTGATCTTTTCTCTCGTGTAATAAAACGTAATCTCTGCTGCAGAGAGTGAAGATCTTCCTCACTACGTTTCTGACTCTTTCTGTCTTCAACACAGTGCGATTAGTTTCTTTAAAATGTAAAGACTTCTCATGAGAACACGCAACAGTAACACATTCTGAGATCTCAATATATTACGGCTATTGGGCCAACTCCACCAATCAGGAGGAGACAGCCACGGCCATTGCCGTTCCAAAGCGCTGGAGACGCTGTAGTACATATGCCAGGCCTGTAGATGGCGCTGTTCTCACTGAATCTGCCCTTGCTAAAAAACAGGGGTAAAAAAGTGCAAATTGAGCGAAATGAGGCATGGCTAAAATGCATGATCTGTTTGGTATTTTGAAAAAAAAAAAAGTATAAATATGCCTTATATAGGTATGGTCCTACACTATATTATTCAAATATAGCATGATAGGTCTACTTTAAGTGAATGTCTACTTAAAGGCGACATGTTATCACTTGGCTGTGAAAAGTGATAACATGTCCCCTTTAAGTTGACATTCACTTAATGTGAGTCTAAAGCAAAGACTGTGACATCTTTACAACTGTGTTCATAACTAATTGCAAGTGTCCATTGCGATGTCACTTTGTTCGGAAGTAAACAACAATCTAAATGTAGATGCATCTTCCATCTGTAGTCTTTTGTAAATGCATCTACAGTAAACGTTGCACATTTCCACACATTTCTGCCTCAAAGCTGCACATCTCTTCCTGTTCCACATATTTTATTTCTCAGATTCATATTGTTGTACTTACTTTCTTACATATTTACTTAATTCCTCTTGTGCTTGAGTACGCTCTGTCATACACCAAACATAACTCGTATGCATTTCATTCTTGTATAAAAGCTGCTCTAAACCCTTGTTGATAAAGGTTCTCACATTAAATATGAATGTAGTAGTGTTTGTAAAGAAGTGAGCTGTTTGAAAGAGACTTGGATATTTCTACAGGAGGTGAGAGAGAGTTTGTAAAAAATACATTTAGTTTTGCTGTTAAACTTCAGTTCATCAAGACTTTTCTCAATTGTTGGTACAGTATTCCTTTAAGTGAGCAGGAAATGAAGTGTGTGTGTGTGTGTGTGGCACTATCAGTACATGCAGGCGTGTCCTCCTTCTACCTTCAGTCCTCTTCCTCCTCTCTCCTTCGCTGCTGATCAACCCTCAGCGGTGGGCGTGTCCCGCCTCCTCTGCGCTGTGATTGGCTGTCGGCCCGGGCGGGTTATCTCCTGTGCAACATGTCGAGTCCCTCCCCAGATAGATAGAGCTGGCACACACACACACATTGCAACATGTTTGTTTTCAGTGAAGTTTGTCAGTAGAAGCAGAGACAGGTAGTGCCTCTCAGGTGTGTGTGTTTGTAGTTTTTATGGCATGGCGCGGGATACAGGAGTAGTGAAGCACAGTCTTGAGGATAATGGAGTTTCTGAAGAGCCTGGTACCGGGCAGCATGTCAGGGGAAAGCCCAGGTGATCATGGGGGGGTTCTGCCCCGGGACTCGGGCCCCCGGCTGCTGCGTATGAAGCGCCTGAGCCTGCTCTCCATGGGGCAAACCATCGAGGAGGATGGGGCAAACCATCGAGGAGGATGGGGGCATCCGGGGTCCAGGAGCCCAACACGCCTCAAAGGTAGAGCTGCAGGGAAATGATCTGTGTTTATGTGTGATACTAAACATGACCGCCTCGTTACAGCTGCTTATCATCTGCCTTTGAGTTCAGTGTTTGTTCAAAGGGATGCACCGATTCATAGGCTAAGACCTGCACCGATTCATAGGCTAAGACCTGCACCGATTCATAGGCTAAGACCTGCACCGAATCATAGGCTAAGACCTGCACCGATTCATAAGCTAAGACCTGCACCGATTCATAGGCTAAGACCTGCACCGAATCATAGGCTAAGACCTGCACCGATTCATAGGCTAAGACCTGCACCGATTCATAGGCTAAGACCTGCACCGATTCATAGGCTAAGACCTGCACCGATTCATAGGCTAAGACCTGCACCGATTCATAGGCTAAGACCTGCACCGATTCATAGGCTAAGACCTGCACCGATTCATAGGCTAAGACCTGCACCGATTCATAGGCTAAGACCTGCACCGAATCATAGGCTAAGACCTGCACCGAATCATAGGCTAAGACCTGCACCGATTCATAGGCTAAGACCTGCACCGATTCATAGGCTAAGACCTGTACCGATTCATAGGCTAATACCTGCTAATCCCTGCTAATACCTGCACCGATTCATAGGCTAAGACCTGCACCAATTCATAGGCTAATACCTGCTAATACCTGCTAATATCTGCAACGATTCATAGGCTAATACCTAATATATGCATAGATTCATAAGCTAATTCATTGGCTAATACCTGCACCGATTCATAGGCTAATATCTTTCAAAGACTCAAAGGTGTTCTCATCATATGCTCAGCAGCTTCAGTGCAGAAATGGCAATGAAATTCTTCTGACCTAAGCTCCTCCCACAATGCAACATATGTAATAAAATACAAAATAGTGCAAGAAGTCTATATACATGTAAATAGAATATGATATGTACAAGAACAGAATATGAAATTAAATAATGTACATTAAGACAACATTAAATACGGTTTATTGCGGTGATAACTATTTAGATAAATAAGTAGATTGCAAGGTGACAGATGAATGTTTATGGAGGCACTTTAAAGAGTTCAGGTGTTTAACCTGTAAGCCCTGAGCCAGTTTTTCAGGTCTCAGGCTCGAAAATGACATTCCCAGAACAAATGACTTCACTTCTAAAAGGGGTAAATTAATAATCTTTGTTCTCAAAGTAATGATAAACCTGTGAGTTGGATGTAGAAAAGTCAGAATCAATATAGATGTTTTTTATTTTAAAGAAAATTCAGATTTTAAATAGTAAAAAACTGTAAATTATAGTGTCCCGTCCAAAGATTTTGTTTACTTATAGTGAAAACTACCCTGGATGATGGGTTAGTAGACTAAAAGCTTTAGGAATCCAAAGTACAACATATAATAAGTACCCTGTATCAAGATTGATGCAAAACAAGTGACATTTGACCTTTTTAGAGAGATTTAGCAAAAAAACCCACTTCTGGGGTCATTTGGGTGGATTTTCCATATCTCTGGCCCCCCTTGCTCGATTTTGATGGTTGACACCTCTTTCTGACCGTTAGAGCCTATAGAATCGAAGGGGGAGTTCCTAAAATCCATCTAAACATTTCCCATTGAGGAATGAGAGTGATGCGCACGCAGCTTGCCCAAACTGAAAGCTATGTTGCGCTCTGAAAACTGAAAACTAGGCTTATTGATCATAAATATGATGATGATGGATTATCAGTAATCATTTCAAAGTGACACAGAGACATTGGATTAACCTTCAGCAGCGTTTATATGCGTTTTAATGCCATTGAACACAACTTTGATCACAAAACAGCAAAGGTAAGACGTATTTGCCGTTTTGACCCCATAAAGCTACGTTGTGTGATGTCTGGGTTTGCTTCCCCTGCCGTGAGTTTTGATACTTATACCCCTAGAATCTGTGGAATCTCAGCTTTCATATGATATCTTGTTTGTGCAGATAGCATAGAATAGAATAGAAGAATAGGGAGGGATGAAACCCTCTTTAATGGTCACACATGCAGAGCACACAGCACACACAGTGAAATTTGGCCTCTGCTTTTAACCCATCCTAGTACAAGGAGTCTAGTACTAGGAGCAGTGGGCAGCTATTGTACAGCGCCCGGGGAGCAATGGGAGTGGGGGGGGAAGGGGGGTGTCCGGTGCCTTGCTCAAGGGCACCACGGCAGGGCAGGAGGTGAACTGGGACCTCTCCAAGTAGAAGTCCACACTCCATATTTAGGTCTTGGTCGGGGACTTGAACCAGCGACCCTACGGCTCCCAGTCCAAGCCCCTACTGACTGAGCCACTGCCGGAAGTATAAAATATTTATACCGTGAGTTATGTGCTTAGTGCTAATTCAGAGGCTCAGCGTTAGACTTGTGTTTTTTATTTTGTGAAAAATGGTTCGTATCGTCAGTTAGCTGAGTTTCTACCCGTTAAGTGGGTATGACACATTCATAGTTTGTTCAATGTGAAGAAGCCCTCAGACGCTGTTTCTTGCAGCGGGGGCTTAACAGGTTAATAGTCTTATGGTCTGTGGGATGAAACTGTCCTCTGAGTCCTGGTGTTTCAGTCTGGATGCTGCAGACAGAACAGTTTGTTGTTCACTGGGGACAGCGGGCGATGTTTATCTGTTTTGTTCGCGTCACGTTAGCGTCGGATGAATGTTGTTTTGGTTAGATGTGGTCTGACAACAGGATCTGGATTATAGGACTGTTTTGGAAAAGATTTTGGAGATATGATGAGTGTCAGGAAACAGAGTAGGGCTGCACGATGTGGAAAATAAACCTTCTCATGCTATGATTTTGACTGGTTTTGCAGTATTATTCGCTATATTCAATTGATTGATCATGTATGGAACAATCTCTGCAGCAATTATTACGTTACTGCTACGTTTTTTGCAATTTTTGATAACATTTTGATTAATTATGATACAAGGGTAACAATTCATTTTAAGAGTAATTGAAAAGTGCCGAGTTAATACATAGTTTACCTTTTTAAAATGAAGTAAATACTTGACCCGTACATTTTAAAAAGCCAACCTTTAATCTTAACTTTGCATCGATATTTTCTTCCACTCATGCATTTGTTTATAAAATAAAGACGTGAAGAGAAAGTGTTGGAGCACCGTCTCAAGAACAGGGACATGCAGTTTAACCGGTTTATTTCCTGTTCGATGTTGTAGAAATAATCAGCTCAGGTTTCCAGCACTTTGTACGATGAGATGTGAAGAGAAACAGGGTTTAGTCTGCACCGTAAAATGTTAAAGTGATGCCAGAAAACAACATTTCTGTTCCTCAGAAACTGTATAATTCCTCCAGAAATCTGAGCATCAAAACCGAGCGTCAGACGGCAGTGACAGCTTTGTTTTTACGGAGCTCCGACGTCACGTTGTTGTTACGTCACGTCGTTGTTTACGTCAGGAGGACATCTTGTATACGGGCGTCATATTATCTTCATATATCTTATAAACAAAATCAGAGACACAGTTGATGTAGAAGAGACATGAAGAAGAGGGGACACGTGTTGAGTAGAAGAGACATGAAGAAGAGGGGGACACATGTTGATGTAGAAGAGACATGAAGAAGAGGGGACACATGTTGATGAAGAAGAGACATGAAGAAGATGGGGACACATGTGATGAAGAAGAGACATGAAGAAGAGGGGACACATGTTGATGAAGAAGAGACATGAAGAAGAGGGGACACATGTTGATGAAGAAGAGACATGAAGAAGAGGGGACACATGTTGATGAAAGAAGAGACATGAAGAGAGGGGACACATGTTGATGAAGAGGGGACACATGTTGATGTAGAAGAGACATGAAAGCAGCGGGACACATGTTGATGAAGAAGAGACATGAAGAAGAGGGGACACATGTTGATGTAGAAGAGACATGAAGAAGAGGGGACACGTGTTGATGAAGAAGAGACATGAAGAAGAGGGGACACGTGTTGATGAAGAAGAAGAGACATGAAGAAGAGGGGACACGTGTTGATGTAGAAGAGACATGAAGAGAGGGACACGTGTTGATGAAGAAGAGACATGAAGAAGAGGGGACACGTTTGATGATGTAAAGAGACATGAAGAAGAGGGGACACTGTTGATTGTAGAAGAGACATGAAGAAGAGGGGACACATTGTTTGATGAAGAAGAGACATGAAGAAGAGGGGACACATGTTGATGTAGAAGAGACATGAAGAAGAGGGGACACGTGTTGATTGTAGAAGAGACATGAAGAAGAGGGGACAGTGTGATGTAAGACGAGACATGAAGAAGAGGGACACGGTTGATGTAGAAGAGCACATGAAGAATAGAAGAGGGGACCAACGTGTTTGATGTAGATAGAAGACATGAAGAAGAGGGGACACGTGTTGATGTAGAAGAGACATGAAGAAGAGGGGACACATGTTGATGTGAAGAGGACATGAAGAAGAGGGGACACGTGTTGATGAAGAAGAGACTGAAGAGAGGGGACACGTGTTGATGTAGAAGAGACATGAAGAATAAGTGGATTTTGCATCATAGGTACCTTAACAAGAGTTTTGAAACTCGTTAACATGCTGACTCGTCTGTTCCACATGTGATTCATCCTGATGTCACATGATCCTCATTTCTGTTGCAACGTCTTGTTTGATCATGACGTTGATCAAACTGGGAGAAAAACCTCTCCATCATACTTTAGGAAACTGCGTCACTGTTACCCTTCTGGCAACATCTAAGAAAGCCCAGGTGCATCTCTGCCCACCGCTCAGTTTGCTTTTGATGCCTTTTCACTTCCACCAGATTAAATAGAAGGAGGCTTGTGATTCGTCGTGCCAGTCGCTGAACTCAAAGCTAGGTTTACGTCTTGCTGGCTAATGATGGAACTTCTCACTATTGGGTTGACGTGTATATAAACTAATATGGGAATCAACCTCAAGTTTTGAAGCTGGAGGTTCCTTGTATGATAATAATAATGCATTTTATTCATAGGGTTGCTTTTCTAGAAACTCACAGAGTAAGAATGCATAAAAACATAGTTAAAATAACACACTTAAAAAATATATAAAACACAACATTAATTACAGATTAAAAGCCGTTGATTTGTGATTTGAACATGGTGAGATTGGGGCAGTGAGTTCAAGGTATACTGGCTAACCATGTACCGCTGTAATAAATAGTAAATAAATGAATTAAAAATGACGATCAGATCTGAGGCTGCTGTAGAGTTAGATTATAATCTGAGTCGTGCTGACGGCGTGAATCCTCTTCTGAAGGTCTGCTATTGTCTCCACAGATCAGGTAGTTAAAGGTTTAGTGATGTGTGTGTGTGTGTGTGTGTGTGTGTGTAATTATGTGTGGCTTTGTGCAGCGCTGCCTGTTGGAGCACGCTCGCCGCTGTTTGCTTTAAACTCTGCAACTACTAGCTTCACTAACACTCAACAATCAGCTTATCTGCTGCTGCTTTGGAGAGAAATCTAATCTGATTTGGCTTCTAACTGGTGTATGCGTGCAGATATGTTTGTTGATATTCATTTTAAAAGACGACGAGAGCTGCAAACAATGAGCTAATCTGACTATTTGAAGTTATTCTTCTGCCTCTAAAGTCTGTGTCCAGCCTCTCAAGTCTGTGTCCAGCCTCTCATGTCTGTGTCCAGCCTCTCATGCTAAAGGGACTATCTTTGGACATGTAAACCTCTGACTCTGAGGAACAGGCATAGACATTATAATCCATTAAAGTCTAAATAATCTGCAGATCTTTGGTTAGTTGCAGCGCTTAAGATGACTCTAATTCCTTTTACAATCTTTCCCTCCTTTCTTTCTGTCCTACTAGGAAACATCCGTCATGTTAGGAAATTCTTCTTTTTTGGTCCTGCTCGCGCTGGCAGGGGTCAGCACGGTGAGTTGTGTAATCAGATTACTGCAGCTTGGTATTCTGCAGGATGTTTCCTTGTGTGAGCTCGGGCCGCTCCCTTGTTGCAGAACAGCCTGAGTTGGTTTTGAAGGTGGTGCGTCTCCTTCTGCCTCGGGCACGGTGACCTCACTGATTCCTGGGAAGGGCTTGATTCGGACGGTATTTGGTTAACGGGTGTGCAGCAGGTTTCTGTTTGTGATCTGGGAGTGTGCTGCTGAAACTTCTGTGTGAGTGTGTGTGTGTGTCAGCCTGCACACACTCATTCATCAGGATTCTTCAGCAGCTATGAGCCAAGTGCAGTGGAACAGCCCATAATGCTGCATGGTGTCATCGCTGCAACACAAAACGCTGTGCATCACTCTGAGCTCTTTCCCAACAACTTCCTCTTCACATTTTAAAGGTCTCCTATTATACAAAATGTCCTTTCTGATGTCTTCTCTACATCACCATGTGTCCCTGGTGTGTCCCCGGTGTGTCCCCCGGTGTGTCAGGAGACTCTCAAAGTGATGTCTTCTCTACATCACTATGTGTCCCCAGTGTGTCCCCGGTGTGTCAGGAGACTCTCAAAGTGATGTCTTCTCTACATCACCATGTGTCCCCGGTGTGTCCCCGGTGTGCAGGAGACTCTCAAAGTGATGTCTTCTCTACATCACTATGTGTCCCCAGTGTGTCCCCGGTGTGTCAGGAGACTCTCAAAGTGATGTCTTCTCTACATCACCATGTGTCCCCGGTGTGTCCCCGGTGTGTCAGGAGATCTCAAGTGATGTCTTCTCTACATCACTATGTGTCCCCAGTGTGTCCCCGGTTGTGTCAGGAGACTCTCAAAGTGATGTCTTCTCTACATCACCATGTGTCCCCGGTGTGTCCCCGGTGTGTCAGGAGACTCTCAAAGTGATGTCTTCTCTACATCACCATGTGTCCCTGGTGTGTCCCCGGTGTGTCCCCGGTGTGTCAGGAGACTCACAAAGTGATGTCTTCTCTACATCACCATGTGTCCCCGGTGTGTCCCCGGTGTGTCCCCGGTGTTGTCAGGAGACTCTCAAAGTGTCAGGAAATAAACCCCTCTCTCTTTTCCTCCGTACCCACATCTCTAAAAACGGGGGATCAACGGAGCTGATCCAGATTTGCTGCGTCATGACCACATTACTAAAATGTGGGCGGGCTTTACACCCACGGGCCAATCAGAAACGTAGCTGTCAGAAACAATGAGACGTGTTCTGGACGTAATATGGTCTGTGTTTACATTAGCATGGCTAACACTCAGAGCTAACCTGTACTGGAGAGGAGTATGTGTGAAGAAGGAGGAAATCAAAAGGAAGTCACCTTGTGGTAAACCTGAGAGAGAGAAAGAGTTTGAGCTCCATACTGTTTCAGAGAGACTCCTTCATGTGGTTTGGAACATGATATGGAGTTTAGTCACGGCAGCATTTAGCTGAGTTTCTGCTGGGAGAGTTCTCCTGATGAGATCTACTCTCTCTCAAATGGCGCGTTTCCACTACAGCGCGCATCCCGGTTTAAGAGGGCTGTGACGTCAGCGGCCCGTCTTTGGTTGCGTTTCCACTTGGCCTAGTACCGGCCGGCGGGTCCTAATTCACAGTTTTTCTGGCCTCATAAAATCGTGGGTTCTAGGGCCAGAGACAACGAGGCTGAGTCGGGCTGAGTATGCTAAACTAGAGAGAGCATCGCTTGACAAGGGGGCTACAAACTACAACAAGATGGACATATTTGACCGTGATTAATTGTAATACACGTTTCAAAATGATGCCGAAGTAACAACATACTGATACCGGTTAGTAAAAACCATGAATTAATGCTTTGTCAAGTCTGCAGACAGACGGCAGGGGGAAACACCTTTTAAAATGCTTGTTTTCTAAATGGAGATTGGCTAAGCTAACGCAGTATATGCTCCGACCGTCCACACTCACAACAACGGCCTATACAGACATAAATAAAGCAGCGACTGTATTCTCCATGACACAGGCAGTCTGTGGTGTGTACTTGTTTAACTTTTGTCTAGTTTCTGAACAGATATGAGGAGCTGTGAGCTCTGAGTGCTAACAGCTAACGGCTGTGTTGTGTTTCTGGGGTTCTCATTGAAGAGGACGTCACGGCTCCGCCTACACTGCGTTACTATAGATACTACCCCAGTTCCTAAACTGTAATGGGAATGCGCCATAAAGTGAGCCAGTCCTAACGAGGCCCAGCCATACCGAGCGGGGCCGAGCGAGGCCGTGTAGTGGAAACGCGGCATTAAGCTACTGACCCAGAGTCAGCTCTTTAGTAACAGCTGGAAGAGAGAGGGGGGGGGGCTACAAGGATCTGTTTGGTGTTTTGAACAAAACACTTCAGAGACAGGTTTTTTTATATATCTGAGACCTATAATATATTCCTCAAAATAGTTGAACAGGAGACCTTTAACATCGGGGTGACTCCAGGGCTGGTTTGAAGCCGGTGCACAGTTGTGTTTCCACTGCAGCACAATCTGCTTCAACTCACAAACCAAATCACAGAGAGTACGTCAGAGCTTTCAGAAGCTGGACCTGAGAACTACAGAAGTGAATTTGAAGAAGTGTACCTGCTCTGAGACATGTCCGACCTTTTGTGCTGTTCTTACGTTTTAACTCTGCTCCACAGAGACTCTGCTGACCTCTCATCCGTCTGTGTTCAAATGACTTTGTTCTCAGCTTCAGCTACGAGAGAGAGAGGCTCCGTCTGTGGTGGTTATGGTACAGTCATACAGCTAGAAGTTAGATGGGAACATACTGGCCAATAACTGTACAAAAAATATATATATTCACTCCATTTTGTATTTTAACAGCGACGTATTGATTTAAATAGTTATTTTTAAAGCCTTTTTTACACATATTGTTTGTTTGGCTCATTGGCATTTGCTGAGTTTCAGCTCAATGACGGTACTCTTTGAGACGTATGTGGACGTCATCTCTCTGCTAATGATGAACATGATGGTTAGTTGCAGCTAGGGCTGTGCAATTAATTGTATTTTAATCGCAATCACGATTTTGGCCTGCCACAATTACAAAAACAACATAATCGAAAAAAAACAATTATTTATCTTTGCTAGGTTGTGACTGTGCAACATGTTTGATCTCATTTATTTTGGTCTCATTTATTTGTATTTATCATATTTATATATGTTTAGTAGCTTGGGGAAGTGCGCTCCAAAATATTTGTTGATCTTGTTTATTGGTATTTATTATTTTGATATTATTTCTTTCAATGTATCATTTATTTGTGTATTGGTTTTTCAGTTGAATTATACGTTCAGGGTAATCAACAGTTAAAAAGATACTGTTCAAATTATTATCTGTATTTGTTTTAAAGTTCAATAAATAGATGTTTTCAAAGTCAATGAATAATCGTATTTAATAATCGTGATATCAATTATTGACCCAAATAATCGTGATTATGTTTTTTGCCATAATCGCACAGCCCTACTCTCAGCACTACATGATCATTCTCAACAAAGTATAAGAAAGTATAATTACATAGAGCTGTATTAATCCCTGTAAGGAAACTCAGGTGTCATAGCAGGCAAGAGTTCATAAGGGTAAACGTGAAAGCAATAATATATACAGAAATCAGATTAGAGGTACTTTATTGATCCCCACATTGGGGAAATGTTTGCGTTGCAGCAGCATACAACACAACACAAACAAAACACGGCACATGAGTAGAAATAAACAATACTAGAATTGAAACATCTCAAAATGGAATGAAAACAGCTTTAAGAAGTAGAAGACATACAGTAGGCCGTGAAGATATAAAGTCTATAAACTCTTGACGGGCTTTAGACACAATAAAAAGCGGGATATTATCTGCATTAAGAGTGCAGGGGAAGTAGCTGAATGTACACATGCAGATATGACAGATTGTTGTGAGTAAATATAAATACACATGTCAGCGTGCACTCTTATGAATGAATCAGCTGTGAGCAGGCGTTGTGTGCGACATTTCGGAACGTCATATATTACACATTGATGACATTTTGTAGGACTAACGGACTATTGTACAAACTAATAGACTGTAAAATAACGTTTATAGATTATAGTTTCTTACAGTATGAATGAGCTGTGAGGATGTGTGGCAGACGTCGTGAGACATTTCAGAACATCATATATCAACATCTATTATAGAGGAATAATAGACAGTACCGTTTATCGATGTCGTTTCTTACAGTATTCAGTTTGAGCAGTGATGTGTGCAGACTGTTTGCTGGCATGCTCCCTCTCTGATGGATCTCGATGTCCTCTTGCAGGGCGGGGGGGGGGGGGGGGTGGTGGGGGGGGGTCAGGGATTGAATTACAGCAAATATCGATTATTGTCCACAACCAACTGCCACTCAGAGGTCCGGACAGGAAGTGCATCCTGCTGATGCGTTCAGGTGCTCATCGTTCAATCAGCTCCTCTTACAGGAAGCTGTTTATGTGCAGCGCCGTAATGTTCCCTCGTGTGTGTGTGTGTGGGGGTGGGGGTGTGTGTGTGTGTGTGGGGGGGTGTGTGTGGGTGTGTGTGGGGGGTGGTGTGTGGGGTGGTGTGTGGGGGGGTGTGTGTGTGGGGGTGGTGTGTGGGGTGTGTTGTGTGTGTGTGTGTGTGGGGGGTGGGGGTGTGTGTGTGTGGGGGTGTGTGTCCAAATTGGGATTAATAAAGTACATTTGATTTGATATTTTATCTTAGTCAAATATCCAGAAGTTTTGCTACTGATTTTATTTCAACATCATAATCATAGTGATACAAATAAACTAATTTAATGATATAGATTAAAAATAAAGAAGCACAAAAACGCATTAATTCATAATAATTAAAAATTAAATATATATAAATAATAACACTTTTAGTATGATATATGAAACAGACCAAAGGTGACATCAAATGCACTCTTATCCCAATTTGGAAGAAATCAAACACAGCAGCTAAACAACAAACCCATATCAGCCAGTGACGTGTGTGTGGGCCAGAAGGAAGTG